CTCTCTCTCTCACCTCTTTACTATCTTTCTCTATCTCTATCTCTATCTCTCTCTCTTATTTATCTATCTCTATCTCTATCTCTCTATCTCTATCTATCTCTCTCTATCTATCTATCTATCTATCTCTCTCTCCATCTTCTCTCTCTTCATCTCCCTCTTTTCTCATTCTCTCTCTCTCTTTCATTCTCTCTCTCTCTCTTTCTATTCTCTTTCTCTTTCTCTCTTCTTCTCTTTCATTCTCTTTCTCTCTTTCATTCTCTCTCTCATTCTTTCGCCTTTCTACTTCTCCTCTCCCTGTCTTTCTCCTGCTTCCACTCGTTTTCGCTGACTGCATCTACGTATATTTTTCACCTCTTTTTTAACTACAGAAAATCAATGCATACTATCATCACTCACTAGCTGTAGCATCATCATCCTCATCACCGTCATCACCATCATCACCATCACCGTCATCATCATCATCACCGTCATCATCACCATCACCGTCATCAATCATGTCATCAATCAATCATCATTATGAATAATCCCTCCTCATCTCCAGAACTTAATCACCATCATCCTCACCAATCATTACTAAATATCATCAATATTATTTCTCTCTTACAGTGAGGATCTGCACGTGCACGGGGACTGTGGTGATGGTCTGCCACATCGTCGCCGTCGTCCTGTTGTTAATCGCCCTTGCTATTGTGAGTTGTGAGTTGTGGGTTGTGGCTTTTGTGGGTTGTGGGTTCGGGTTGTGGTTGTGGGTTGTGGGTTGTGGGTTGTGGGGTTTGCTTTGCAAGTATGGAGTGACTTGGGTCTGGAGTTGTGTTTCCTGTGATTGCTGGATGGGTGAAAAAGATGATGGAATGAGGATAAGCACAATTTTGTCACAATTTTTGTACATGTGTGTGTGTATATATATATATATATATATATATATATATGTGTGTTGCGTGTGTGTGTGTGTGTGTGTGTGTGTGCCTGTGCGTGTGTGTGTGTGTGTGTGTGTGTGTGTGTGTGTGTGTGTGTTGTGTGTGTGTGTGTGTGTGTGTGTGTGTGTGTGTGTATGTCCGTATGCGAAAAAATGTATCACTTGCATCATGGGAAAATACAATTCCATGTATACCATAGTCCTCCTCCGCCTGCTACACCCATTCCCAATTCCCTTCACTCCAGGGGCGGCGTCGCCTTAGCTTCCCCTGGGTGGGCTGGAGCCTGCTGGTGGCGCTGCAGGAGGTGGTGCTCATTGGGGCGTGTTGGTCCCTCCTGTACTCGGCCGAGCTGACTCTCTTCGGCTGCCACGCCCTGATGTTGGTGACGAATGTGGTCCTCGCACTGCCCTTCCTGCAGGTACAGTGGTGGGCAAAAGTCTCTGAATGAAATGAAGCTTCGAATCTGTCTTACTCTGTACAAAGGTGTGCTCTTTGTCGGATGTTCGAAACGGAATTCGAAACAGGTTTGACTAGAGTTTCGACCGTGACTGTACGAGAGGGCGGGAAAAGCAGAGACCCGGGAAAGGCTAGATCAGTAGCAACTCGAGGAGGTGTCATGGCGCCTGTTTTGATGATCGTTCAATGAAAATATCGCCATTAAAATCATTATTTTCCATCCTTTTCGAAAATAACACCAATATGATCGACCATATTCACAAAGCATCCGTAACTTTTGTGACGTCCTCAAAATGTGCTTTTTCCAAAAATAGAATCAATCGCCATGACACCTCCTCGACTTGCTACTTGTCTCGCCTTCCCCACAAAAAAAATGTGTTATCTAGTTGATATTCGAAACGGAATTCGAAACAGGGTTGACAAGAGGTTTGACCGTGACTGTGCGAGAGGGAGGGAGAACTACAATCACGCTGTGTTGTTGATATGGGTAGAAGGAGGAGCAGGAATAGAATCTGTGGTATTAACTGCTGTGGTTAACAGGGCGTCGCGAGGCCTTGGGGTGAGAAATAAAGTCAATTTGCTTGATAGAATATGATATGTACGTGGGTAAATAAAGTTTGCACAGATTGCTGAAAATATATATGTGCGTTTTCTCTTTCTCTCTATCTATCTATCTCTATCTCTCTCTATCTATCTATCTATTTATCTCTGTCTATCTATCTATCTCGCGGCGAAAAAAATACATGTAGTAAGAAGAAATATAAATGAAAGGGGACATGTCGGGGGGCTGCGGATGTGTCGGAGGTTTGACACGGAGAGAGAAAAAGGGGTCGGAAGGAGGGGATTGAGGGAGGAAGGAAGGAAGAGAGAGATGAGAGGAGAAAGAGAGAGAGAGAAGAGTGAGAGTAGGTGGTGGGGGAGAGAGGGAGGGAGGAGAGAGAGAGCGAGAGAGAGAGAGGAGCTAGAGAAGAGAGAGAGAGAGAGAGTGAAAAGGAGAGGGAGGGAGGAAGGAGAATAGAGCTTGAAGAGGAGAGAGAGGAGAAAGAACGATGAGAAAAGAAGCGAAAGAAAAAAAGAATGAGAGTGAGGTGCTTAAGTTCTATAGGATAGAGGCGGAGGAGAGAGAC